GAAGGAGTTGGGTCTCTCCTTCCACTGTGGGCCACGGGGATCAGACTTAGGTAATCAGGCTTGGCTGCTAAACCATCTTGCCAGCCCAATATGGGATATTTAATATAAGAAAACCTGCATGCAAAGCCAAGTGAACACATGGGGACAGAGGAAAGATGGCTGGTCAGGCTTGAGTTAGGGGAAGCCAGGAAAGGTTCCTTGGAGAAAGGGGCATGCCAGTTGGGTCTTATAGAACTTTGGTATGACTGGAAAACTCCACAAAGAGAATGACTACAGATAAACAAAGAACTGATGTGATTTTCTCAAAATGATTTCATTTAGGTAGAAAAATGTATGCTAAACTATAAGTTGTGACAGATGGAGATTTTTTTTTTTTCCGAGACAGGGTTTCTCTGTGTAGTCCTGGCTGTCCTGGAACTCTGTAAACCAGGCTGACCTTGAATTCAGAGATCCACCTGCCTCTGCCTCCTGAGTGCTGGGATTAAAAGTGTGCTCCACACTGCCTGACTTTTTTTTTTTCTTTCTTAAGACAGGGACTCGGTATCCCAGGTTGGCCTGAACGTCTGCTCTTCTTGCTTCTACCTCCCAGGTGTTGGGTTTGCAGGTGTGTGCTACTGTACCTGCTTTATACTTGCTGGAGATGGACCTGAAGGCCTTGGGCATGCTAGATATGAGTTCTACCAACTCAGCCATTCTACCAGCCTTGTCTTAGTTAGGGTTTCTATTGCTGTGAAGAGACACCATGACCACAGCAGCTCTCATAAAGGAAACATTTAATTGGGAGCTGGCTTACAGTTTCATCACAGCAAGAAGCATGGTGGCATGCAGGCAGACATGGTGCTGGAGAAGGAGCTGAGAGTTCTACATCTGGATCAGCAGGCAGCAGGAAGAGACAGAACCAGATACTGGGACCAGCTTGAGCATTTGAAACCTCAAAGCCCACCCCAGTGACACACTTTTTCCAACAAGGCCACACCTCCTAATGGTGCCACTCCCTATGAGCTCATGAGGGCCATTTTCATTCAGACCACATTTCACTCCCTGGCCCACAAAGGCTTGTAGCCATATCATAATGTAAAAGTACATTCTGTCCAAGTTCAAAAGTCCCCATAGTCTATCACAGTCTCAACAATGTTTACAAGTCTAAAGTTTAGCTGGGTATGATAACTCACATCTTAAATCCCAGCACTTGTGAGGCAGAGGCAGGTGGATCTTTGTATGATGGGAGCCATAAGCCTAAGTGACCCTTGACACACTTGCCGCCATATTTGGGCTTCTCTCCTCTTTTCCTAGATCTAGGCCTTGCTTAAGTCTCCATAGCACCAGAACCTCTTCTCATAAATAACCAGAACCTCTTCTCAGGTTCTGCAGTTAGGCAAGAATAGATAATCCTCATAGCAATGTTCTCTGCTGGCTGAACAACCCATGATTAAAGTCCCCTCCCTGCTTGTACCCCCCTTTTGCCCCTGCCTATATATGCCTTAAGAGGAAAATAAAATTTTGAAGTTTGATCAGACATCCTGTCTTGCTTTCATTCTTTGTGTCTCTTGTCCCTCTCATTCACTGGCCCTCCCTTCAGGTCCCCATTGAAGACCCCACTGGCCGGGGCATCTGTGAATTTGAGACCAGCCTGGTCTACAGAGGGGGACAGCCAGGGTTACACAGAAAAACTCTGTCTCAGGAAAAAAATCCACATACTTCCAACATACAATGGCGCAGGATATACATTACTGTTCCAAAATGGAGGAAAGGGATCATAGAGAGGAAACACTGGACCAAAGCATGACTAAAAACTAGCTGGGCAAACTGCAAATTCTGCATCTCCATGTCTGATGTCAAAGCGCTCTTTATAGTTCCAACCCCTTTCAGCTTTGTTGACTGGGACACACTTTTTTCTCTTGGGGCTGGTTCTACTCCCTGTGAGCAGCTCTCCTTAGCAGGTATCCCATAGCCCTGGCATCTCAAACATCTCCAAGGCAATCCAGACTTTACTTTCACAACTTCACACAATGACCTCTCTAGGTCTCCATGCAGGAATACCCTGACATATGCCTGATCTCAGTGGCTTTTCTTAGTCACAGAGGGAGATTCCATAACCCCTTTCTTCTGTCCTTGACTCTAAAGTCACAACTATATAGCTGAAGCTACCAATTTCTGCTACTTGCTGGGACTGGAACATGGCCCCCTTGTTCAAATACATTTTCACCAGCTTTCTGTTTTTGATGGTTTCCTTCACTTCCTAACCTTGGCTGCTCTGGAACTTGCTCTGTGGACCAGACTGGTCTCCAACTCAGAGATCCACCTGCCTCTGCCTCACAAGTGCTAGGTTTTAAAGGTGAGATTTTCTTTAATTTCTTTTCACAAATTGGAAACTTAGCTGGGTGTGGTCTTGCCCTGAGGTCATCACTCCCTTTATTCCATTTAGCATCAGGCTTTTCTTTAATCTTTTTATCTCCTTGAACACAGGATTTAGTTCCTTTATACTCCCTGGTTCCCCTTTTCTCCTCAAACTATACATTTTGTATTTTTCCTTGCTCGGCTTGCTTCTTTTCATTATAGATCTGCACAAGTGTGGCCAGTAATAACCACACCACACAGTCAATACAAGGCTGTCTGGAAATCTCCTCTGCCAAGGTTGTTAATCCAAAACTCTTCACTTTAGCCTCAGGTACTTTTTTTTGGACAAGGGCTAAAAAGAACCATATTCTTCACCAAAATATCACAAGAATGATCTCTAGGTGGCATACTAATATTCCTCTTCTCCGAAACCTCCTGAGCCAGGACCCCACAGTTCAAATCACTCTCAGCACCACTGTCTTCCATGCTTCTAATAGAATGGCCCATTAAGCCCCACTTAAAGCATTCAACTGCTTTTCTTGTCCAAAGTCCTGAAGTGTTCCATATTCCTCAAAACAAAAACATGGTCCAGCTTATCATAGCAGTACCCTGGTCCCTGGTACCAACTTCTGTCTTATTTGGGGTTTTATTGCTGTGAAGAGACACCATGACCAGAGCAACTCTTATAAAAGAAAACATTTAATTGGGGCTGGCTTACAGTTTCAGAGGTTTAGTCCATTATCATCATGGCAGGAAGGATGGTGGCATGCAGGCAGACATGGTGCTGGTGAAGGAGCTGAGAGTTCTACATCTGAATCAGCAGGCAGCAGGAAGAGAGAACCAGACCCTAGGACCAGCTTGAGCATTTGAAACCTGAAAGCCCACCCCTAGTAACACATTTCCTCTAGGAAGGCTACACCCACTCTAACAAGGCCACAGTTCCTAATGGTGCCACTCTCTATGAGTCTATGGGGGTCAATTACATTCAGACCACCACAAGCTTGATAAAATGTTTTGAAAATTACTTATTATCATCTGTGATGTGTGTGTGTGAGTGCCTTTAGTCTGTCTCCACACTTAACACTGACATAATTCTAGGATAGCACAAAGCTCCTTGTAACAGAAAAAAGAGAATTATTACAGAAAAATGAGAGTTTCTACAGTTAATACTCCAAACTAGACTTGGCATATTGTTTTGTCCTCTTATGAGAAATTCTGGAACCAACCACTGAAATAATTATTTTTAAAGATTTCTAAAACAGTTATTTTTAATTATGTGGTTGTATGTGGGCTGGTGCACATGTGTGGGGTGCCTGTGGAGGCTAGCAGCATCAAAACCTCTAGAGCTGGAGTAACAGGCAGCTGTAAGCTGCCTGACATGGGTGCTGAGGACTGAACTTGGGTTTCTGCAAGACCAGTGTGCTCTCCTTCCAGCCCTCCCCAGATTGTTTTAAACCATTATAATGGTTAAGAAACTTGAAAGGAGATGTAACAATAGCATTAATATCATTTAAGATTTTCTTTGTTCTGTAAAATGCCTGCAATTAACACATCAACGGGATATAAAATATACAATTATTTACAAGTTGGAAAAATGGTCTTTGTTCATTTAAGACAGGGTCTTACAGTGTAGCCTCACTTTTTGGTCCAGCATTCTGAATGAGTTACTTTCTCACCTCTGTAACCAAATACTCTACAAAAATCAACCCAGGGAAGAAAGGTTTATTTGGACTTTCGGTCTGAAGGTCCTTCATGGAAGAAGGTGAGGTTGTGGGAGTATCAGGTGAAGAACCACCCTTCACCCACAGTCAGGGGCGGAAAGAAATGGATGCTCCTGCAGCCAGTCCTCTTGGTCTGGGACATCAGCCCATGGGATGGTGCTGCCCACATTTGGGGGGAGTTCCCCCAATCCCAGTTAAAACTTTCTGGAAACATCTTTACAGATACATCCAAGGTGTAGCTCTGAGGTGATTCCAAATCCTACCAAGTTGGCAGTTGAAACCAACCATCACATCTATTTTTATCAACAATTGAAATACTTAGGTTGCTTTCAACAATAGTGATGTACTCATAACTTTTCTTTATTTGAGACATGGACTCATATATCCTAAGCTGAACCTGAACTTGTTAAGTAGGATGACTTTGAACTGCTGATGCCCTGCCTCTACCTCCAGTGTGTTGAGATTAGAGGAGTGTAACACCATCTGCACTAAAGACTAGAACCCAGGGTCTCCTGTATGCTAGGTAGACACTCTACCAACTGAGCTATATCCCCTGCTGGCCCTCAGAGCTTTTTAAATCAGTTACTAAATACTTGGTGTTTTGAGGTCAGAGGGAAAAACTGTCTCAAATTTAAACTTTTGTGCACATATTTGTTGTAGAGACATGTGATTTGGCAAAAGCCAATAATATATTATCAAAGAAGTAAATAGATTAGATTAAAATTTCATGGGGGAAGGATAAAAATAAAAACTAGAACTAATATAAAATTCTAACTGTTAAATACAAGCTTTACTTTTTAAATTTACTTTGAATTTTTTTTTTTTTTTTTTGGTTTTTCGAGACAGGGTTTCTCTGTGTAGCTTTGCGCCTTTTCCTGGGACTCACTTGGTAGCCCAGGCTGGCCTGGAACTCACAGAGATCCGCCTGGCTCTGCCTCCCGAGTGCTGGGATTAAAGGCGTGCGCCACCACCGCCCGGCTTACTTTGAATTTTTTTAATGTGGCATTATACCAATGTGTGTGTTTACCATGTTAACCATCTTAATTGTGGTAAGTACACACACATCACTGTGCAGACAACTTAAGAAACCTTTTCAAGGCAGGTATGGTGGCTCACGCCTTTAATCCCAGCACTTGGGAGGCAGAGGCAGGGGGATCTCTGTGAGTTCGAGACCATCCTGGTCTGCAGAACGAGTTCCAAGACAGCCAGGGCTGCTACACAGAGAAACCCTGTCTTGAAAAACCTAAAAGAAAAAAAGAAGCAACCTTTTCATCTTGTAAAGCTGGAAATATACAGCCATCAAGCATCCTCATCTGCCTCTCCTCCAGGCTGTGGCAATCACCCTTCCTTTCCAGTTCTGAAATGTAGGTCTTTCCAGGTATATTTAATAGATATTTCTATCTTAACTGTTAGCATGGGGGCTAGAGGGATGCTTCCGTGGTTAAGAGTGCTCACTTCACAATCATTAGACCTGGAATTCGGGTCCTGGCACACATGCCACACCTGGCATCCTCCACACCTGTAACTGCAGCTCTAAAGGGGGACAAAGATGGAGGGTTGCCAGGGTTTACTGGCTTCAGCCTAGCAGAGAAAATGCAGATGCCAGATTCAGGGAGAGACTTTGCTTCAGGGGAATAGGTAGAGAGTGATGGAGGACACTTGATGCCTTCTTCTGGCCTCCAGGTGCAGAGACACAGGTGCACACACAGACATGTTTACACAAATAAATACATATACTTAAAACATTAATATATCAGAAATTAAATAATTTGTCATTAATTAAACTAATAATGAAAATTTTTAAAAAGTCAAAAGGTTTGAATGGATTTATAATTTTCCAAATTTCTTTTAGGGAGAATGGGAGTAAAATAAAACCCTGTGATCCTAACTGAGCTTCTTACACGTGGGACTGAATGATACTCATTGTAGTGCATCAACAAGAATCAAAATCTGGTTTCTTTAAAGACAGGTATTTGGTATAAGTCCTGGTTGGCCTGGTACAGTGTAGTTCAGGGCTGGCCTTCAATCAAGGCAATCCTCCTAACTTAGCCTTCTACATGCTGTGATCACAGGCACGTGTCACAGTGTCCAGCTCAAGAACTACAGGCTATTGACACCCAAGTGTCCATTCCAACCATAGACTGTTGTGGAATGTTAGTTAAAGATGTGTTACAATTGTTTGTGCTGTGGAATATTTATTTAATGATGCAAGGATATGTTGCATTCTTTTATGTTGCATTTGTTTAACTCTGTAAAGCTGTGTTACTTTGCCTATCTAAAACACCTGATTGGTCTAATAAAAGCTGAATGGTCAATAGCTAGGCAGAAGAAAGGATAGGTAGGGTTGTCAGGCAGAGAGAATAAATAGGAGAAATCTGTGAAGAGAAGATTGGGGAGCAAGAAAAGAAGAGGAGGATTTCAGGGGCCAGCCACTCAATTAGACACAGAATAAGAAGGAAAGAAAAGATATACAGAAACAGAATAAGGTAAAAGCCTAGAGGTAAAAGGTAGATGGGATAATTTAAGTTAAGAAAAGCTGCCTAAAAATAAGTCAAGCTAAGACCAGACATTCACAAGAAAGAATAAGACTCTGCGTGATTATATGGGAGCTGGGTGATGGGCCCACAAAGAGCAAAACAGTAAAAAACAACCACCAACCACAATAAAAATTTTTTTTTTTTGGTTTTTTGAGACAGGGTTTCTCTGTGTAGCTTTGCGCCTTTCCTGGAACTCACTTTGTAGACCAGGCTGGCCTTGAACTTACAGAGATCCGCCTGCCTCTGCCTCCGGAGTGCTGGGATTAAAGGCATGCACCACCACTGCCCGGCCATAAAATTTTATATATGTGTCTTAGTCAGTGTTCTATTGCTGTGAAAAGATACCATGACCAAGGCAACTCTTAGAAAGCATTTAATTGAGGCTTGCTTACAGTTTCAGAGATTTAGTCCATTATTGTCATGGCAGGGATCATGGTGTCAGGCAGGCAGATAGACATGGAGCTGAAGAAGTAACTGAGAGTTCTACATCTGGATCTGTAGCTAACAGGATGAGAGCAATACTAGGTTCAGCTTGGGTTTTTGAAACCTCAAAGCCTACTCCCAGTGATACATGCTGTGGAACAATCTTTTTGTACACTATAAATATGTATTACTCTCATTGGCTAATAGAGCTGACTGGCCAATAGCTAGGCAGCAAAAGGTTAGGTGGGACTTGCACACAAAAAGAGAGCATGGGAGCTGGGCGGTGGTGGCGCACGCCTTTAATCCCAGCACTTGGGAGGCAGAGCCAGGCAGATCTCTATGAGTTCAAGGCCAGCCTGGGCTACCAAGTGAGTTCCAGGAAAGGCGCAAAGCTACACAGAGAAACCCTGTCTTGAAAACCCCGCCCCCCCAAAAAAAGAGAGCATGGGGAAGAAGGAGGGTGGAGTTGCTAGGAGACGCGGAGAGAAGCAAGATGAACATTCCATGCTGAAAAAAGGTACTGCCATGTGGTTGAGCATAGATAAGAAATATGGGTTAATTTAAGTGGCAAGGGCTAGTTAGTAACAAGCCTAAGCTATTGGCCAAACATTTATAATTAACAATGAGTCTCTGTGTAATTATTTGGGAGCTGGCGGTCCTGACAAAAACCTCTACCTATAAATGGCACCTAGCGTCTGACACCTGCATCCACGAAGGACCTAAGAAAGGTTAAAAAAAGATTCCAAACACACAAAAACAGAGCCAAATGTGGCTTCCTAGTCTCATAGTCTCATACTAGCTGCCATATAGAGCTGCATCTCCCAGCCGCTGCCTGTGGGCTTGAGCCACCGGCGTGAGCCCCACCAGCATGCCATGAGCTAAGCTTCATGGAGGTTTAAGGTTTTGTTCATGCAGACAAAAAAGATTACAGATACACAGTAAGGACAGATCCAAGCAGAAAATAAAAACCTCTAAACAGGTTACAATGTGTTTAAAAATGTACAAAGGCTTGGGAGAGAAAGAAGAAAGGGTATAGCTAGCCATAAAAAAGTTTAAAAATAATAACATAAAGGAGTTTAAAAAAGGAGTAAAGTAATATAAAAGAAAAAAGCCACTGTAAAGATGGAAAATACACAGGGAGTCTGGATCCTGTATATTATTGTGTTGTCCTTAAATTTTTTTTATTGTTGATGAACAGACAATAGCTGCTGAGAGTCACTGGATTATAAAAACTGCTAAATTAAACCAACCCATATATATTTAAAATGTCTTAACTTCAAAATGTAAGTCAAAAATATATTATATTGGGGAGAGGTTATACTTTTATTTCCACAGAAAATGAGAGGCTAAGGATTCATTCCAGGTTGATATGGATTACATTTGATTAGGGAAGACCCCCTGAAAATTCTGACTACAAACATAAATAAACAAACCAAAAAAAAAAAAAAACCACCACCACCAACAACAAAAAACTCCAACTACAAGACACCTAATGTATATTTTATCTGCTCAAACATAAAACAAAAATCATCTTTGACTAACTTGTGTACAATACACAGTTTATATTTGTATTAATACAGATATGTTACCTTTGAAAGTTTATGTATTTTCAGAACAGGGGGAACAGACACTAATGAAAACAAATGGCCCAGGTGATCCAACATCTCAAAATGCCTCTGTTGCAGTTTCCTCAGAGTTCTGTATCCAGAACAGTTTCAAGGATGCTGGCTGAGATGGTCAAGCCTCAGAGACTACTCCAGCCAAGACTTAACCATTACTCTAAATTTTCTCAAGGTTCCCCCAAAGATGACAGTGCTCCAGAGAATAGGAAGTATCTAGAGAAAACAATGCCCACATTCCCAAAAGATGGGTTATGGATGTTTGTTATCATTTAGCAGGAATTGGTTACAAGTTGTTATTGGTCATAGTCAAGAAAAAAAGCTAAATAAAAGAGTTAAATTCAAAGATTTCTTTTTAAAGGAAAAAAAGGGGGATATGTCATAGGAATGCTAGAAAAAAAAGAGTAGATTATTCAATCTACTTTAATCCCCAAAGCAACTATTAATCTCAAAATATTTTACATTGATATGAATTTTGGTTTATTGCTACAAATTTAAAGTTATTCTTGGCCGGGCGGTGGTGGCTCACGCCTTTAATCCCAGCACTTGGGAGGCAGAGGCAGGTGGATCTCTATGAGTTTGAGGCCAGCCTGGTCTCCAAAGCGAGTTCCAGGAAAGGCGCAAAGCTACACAGAGAAACCCTGTCTTGAAAAAAACAAAAAAACAAACAAACAAACAATAAAGTTATTCTTGTTATACTGTAGGGATGTTTCTACTCTTGTTTGGGGTATTGTGCTTATGTAGTTCATTTAAAAATGTAATGTATAATTAAGAAATACAGGTTAATAATTAGTCATCTCTAATAATGAAACTTGTAATAGTAGGTATGTTTTCAAGGTTAAAGAGATATATTTAGATAGACAGATAGTCTTCAAACACTTCAAAGGCCTATAGAATATGTCATTTAAGGTGTTTAATAACATAGAGGGTTTGGGAATATTATTTTAAAGTGTGTTGCATTTATTCCTACTGCTTTTGTTAACAATTCAAAGATGTGTTTGGTTAAATAAAATTAATCTGCAAGCAGGAGACAGAGTCAGCAAGTAGCTGACAGGAAGTGGTAAGGAGGAACCACGTGTAGCAAGGGTCTTTTAAGTGGGGGCTGAGAGAAGGATGTTGGGTTTTTTGGAAGACAACAGCAAAAGGAAAAGGTTAGCTACTTGCTATTCAGCCTCTCTCCATTGAGCAGAACTCCACATAAATCGTTGAAATGTGAGTTTTTTAGATTTAGATAAAGCTTTCCTTAGTAGCTTTGAAAGAGCCTGAGGGAACAAAATCCATTGCTTAAGGGGCAGCCACTGTAGATAATAAAAAACAGATAACAACACTAAGGCTTTTCATGATAGTGAGACTCATCTGCTCCTGACAGCACCAATTTACTTCAAAAGAAGATGATGGGCATCAAAGAACCTCCATATGGAGTTTGATTTCATTCTTTTTTTTTTTCTTTTGGTTTTTTAAGACAGGGTTTCTCTGTGTAGCTTTGGTGCCTTCCTGGAACTCACTCTGTAGCCCAGGCTGGCCTTGAACTCACAGAGATCCTCCTGGTTCTGCCTCCTAAGTGCTGGGATTAAAGGCATGTGCCACTACTGCCGGGTGTAACTGTAATTCTTACTTGATAACTGTTTTTGTTATATATAATTTTACTATGTTAAAGTTTAAAACCTTCCTTTTTAATTAGACAAAAAGAGGGAAGTGCTGTGGAACAATCTTTTTATACATTGTAAATATGTATTGCTCTCATTGGTTAATAAAGAGCTGACTGGTCAATAGCTAGGCAGCAAAAGTTTGGTGGGACTTGCAGGCAAAAATAGAGCACAGGAAAGAAGGAGGGCAGAGTCGCCAGGAGACATGGAGAGAAGCAAGATGAACATGCTGTGCTGAAAAAGGTTACCGCCATGTGGTAGAGCATAGATAAGAAATATGGGGCTGGGCGGTGGTGGCACACACCTTTAATCCCAGCACTTGGGAGGCAGAGCCAGAAGGATCTCTGTGAGTTTGAGGCCAGCCTCGTCTACAGAGCGAGATCCAGGACAGGCACCAAAACTACACAGAGAAACCCTGTCTTGAATGTCCCCCCCGACCAAAAAAAAAGAAAAAAGAAAAGAAAAAAGAAATATGGGTTAATTTAAGTTGCAAGAACTAGTTAGTCATAAGCCTAAGCTATTGGATGAGAATTTGTAATTAATAATAAGTCTGTGTGTGGTTATTTGGGAGCTGGGAGCCAGTGGTCCTGACCAAAAAAAAAAAAACAACTCTGCCTACAGATACACTTCTTCCAACAAGGCCACACCTCCTAATCCTTCTCAAGTAGTGCCACTCTCCGATGACTAAGCATTCAAATATATGAGCCTATGGGGGCAATTCTTATTCAAATCACTACAACATATATTTAGACTTTCTTCTTTTCTTTTTCAAAGAAATTTCACTTAACATTTTATTTTTTACTTATTTTTAGATGTATTTATTATGTATGTGGGTTTATGCAAGTGTGTGTGTGTGTGTGTGTGTTTGTGTAAGCCACAGGTCAACATTGGGTATCTTCCTATATTACTTTCCACTTTATTTTTAATTAATTAATTAGTTAATTAATGTGTGTTCAGTGCCCATGGAGGGCAGAAGAGGACATTGGATCCCTGGAACTGGAATTATAGATGGCTGTGAGCTGCCATGTGCATGTTAGGAGTCGAACCCTGTTCTTCTGTAAGGGCAGCTTGTGCTCTTAACTGCTAAGCCATCGCTCCAGTCCTTCCACTTTATTTTTTGAGACAAAGTCTCTCACTCACTAAACCCGAGCTCACCATTTTGGCTAGACTGGCCGGCCAGCAAGCCCCAGGATTTGTGTGTCTCCCTTTACTCCCACGGCTGGGGATACGGAGGTATGCCACTGTACTCAGCTTAAGTGGGTGCTGGGCACCAAACTCGGGTCCTTTGCTCACACAGCATGTGCTTTACCCACTGAGCCTTCTCTCCTGACCCTATTTATTTAAGTTTTCAATACTGTATTCACAATCTTATGCAAGCATACTGTGTGCAGTCAAGAATGCATAGTATACAAAAAGAGAATGCACAGTATTCTGGAATTTATCTGTAGTATGTTAGATTTTATATAATGGATTCAAATAGATAAGCCTTACTTGGTAATATAACTGCTGTTTTAAGTAAGATAAAGTGCATCACCCTACAAATGACGCCAATGAGGACTTACACAGGAAAGGAGCCTTTAGTGGTCATCTAGTCAGACAAACTAGTCAGGGCACAGTAAATTACCTTCCAACTAGGCTCCAGGAATTAGGAATTGTATTGGTGATGTTAAAGACATGGACTGTGTAGCTATCCACAAACATTCTTTTATCTTTCCCTGGGATCCCTTAAGAAGTTCTGAAATGAATGGAACCCAATAATTTAAAACTCAAGTACTGTTATTTCTACATCATCTTGGATTACACGTTCATTTGTTCCTCAGAAGAAAAATCACATTTTCATTTCTTATATTTTATTTATACTAGAGTGGGCACTTCAATATTAATTCAAATATCTACCCATTAAATGCAAAAACGCTAATGCAATATTAAAAATGAAATTTAAATGAAAGCAAGGGAATATTACATTAAGGTTTCCATGGAAACACTCACCACACTTGCCAGCTTCAGAACTGTAATAAGGTAGTTTAGTATCAAGCTCATATCAAGTATAATTTTGAAAAGGTTTAAAAATATATAGGTTAATGTGTGTCAATTTGAGACTTCAGATGAAATATGATATAAAACATCAGGCTGAAGATACATAAAACATTAGCCTGTGTTTTTAATTCACACAAGCCTATCCAGGACAGAGGCACACTCCCCAAATTCTGTGTGATTTGTTGGCATGCATGACAACCACAGTAGTCTGCAATTTCCACCACAGCTAAAATCCAAGTCTCTTATCCTGAAACACAAACAGAGGTATGTGCAAGTGACTCACACTTCAGGGAGAATTTCAAATCACAAACAACTAATTTTGCTACACTAGGCAAAAAATATATTTTTCAGTTCATACAAATTAAATCCCCAAAAATTGAACCCTTCAGATTCATGGATGCTGCCCAAACTCTACCTTTATGATGAACCTGTTTTTTCTTACATTTACTGTAGAGATTACTGTATTAAAAGCACAAAGCTGCCAACATCCCTTTAACCAAGGAAGAGCCCCCTTTTTAAAATCTAAAAGACATAATTGGATTATCACTAAGCCATATATAGGGACTTAGGGGAAATATAAACAAATTAAGAGTCCATTAGTAGGAGTGGGGTGAGCAAACAATGAGCTTTGCAAATGATTAGATTGACACTGAAAAAATGGGGTGTGGTGGTGCACAACTGTGATCCCAGCACACAGGAAGTGAGGCAGGGGGATCAGAAGTTCCAGATCATCCTAGTGAGCTCAAGAATAACTTGGGCTAGAGGTCCTATCTCAAACAAAACAAAACAAAGGAAAAACAGGACTATGGAGATGGCTCCGTTAGTTGAGTACAGACAGAAAACAGGAGTAGTGAGTGATTGGGTACCAAGCGCTGGGGGAAAAGGCCTGGGTGACAACTACCAGGTATGGGGCTGTTACAGGAGGGTTGACTCAGGGGTTCAGAGCACCCGCTGCTCTTGCAGAGGATCTATGTTTGTTTCTCTGCAGCCACATGGTAGTTCAAGACCAGCTGTAGCTCCAGTTGTAGAGCACCTGACGCCTTCTTGCAGCTTCCATGGACACTGCATTCATGTGATGCGCGCACCCACACATATACACCCACACACATAAAATTAACCACTAAGACATTTCTAAAAGAAACTATTCTAAAATGATATGACTGTATAACTTAGAACACTAAAGCCATCAAAGAGTATACTTGCTTTGTTGGTGCCAGGGATTGAACCCAGGGCCATGCACATGTTAAGTGTGCCTTACCACTGAGACAAACCATGATTAGTGTACTTCAAATGCACGAACTTTATAGTAGATAAAATATGTCTTTATAAGGCCATCAAAAAGTATTATTTTGGGAGGAGGTTGGGAGGGTAGGAGTGGAATAGGGGGAAAGGCTGGGAGGGGAGGATGGGGAGAGGCTGTGGCTGGGTTGTAAAATGAATAAATTTTTAAAAAAATGCTAAAACCATTCTCAACCACTGAACCAGTTACAGATGAGTGGCAAATCCATTTATTCCACAGGCCATGCACGCTCTAGATCATCTGAATTCAATAGAATAAATATTTTTACACTCAAAAAAAGTATTATTTTGCTAGGCATGGCAGCAACTGCCCCCCCATTTATTCTTTTATAGTTTATTGTCATTGGATTTGGGTGTCAAGATGGCTTTCATGATACCTTTCTAGAACGTAAAACTTAGTGAAAAATTTGCCAAGTTTTGTTAAGATATCAATTTATGTTAACAAACTTCAAGTTGTACTTTAGTATTTTTTCAAAAAAAACCCTATTTTTTTTTGTGATTATAATTACATCATTTCCCCCTTCCCTTTCCTGCCTCCAAACCCTCCCATATATTCCTCATTGCTCTTTCAAATTCATGGCGTTTTTTCATTAATTGCTGTTTTATATATATATATAATATATATATATAAGTATACTATATATATATATATTCCTAATATATAACTAAAACCCTCTTAGTATGTACAATGTTATTGTATGTATGTTTTCAGAGATGAGCATTTGGTATTGGATAAACAATTAGTGTGCTCTTCCCCGAGGAAGAGCCAGGGCTACATCATACTGAACGCATTCTTCTACAATATGCAATAAAAATGTTCTGAGATTTATCCAGTGTGTGAACAGCCTGCCACCGGGCTCCACTTTATGAATGCTAATATGTCTATCATTCTACTGTAATGGTTTTGCTTCAGGTGATAAACAGTGCTAATCAGCGTATTGATGTCTTTTCTATGCGCAGCAGAATTTCTCAAGGATATATGGTTAAAGGTCCATGGGTTTAACTTCCATCTCCCATGTGCTTGTTTCTCACGGTTCTGCATCCCACCAGCCATCAACTGGGGCCCTTGTTTCTGTCACCAGTGCACACGTGATGGCATCTTATTGATATCTTGATATATAGTTAAATTTTAATGTCATGTATTTGTTGTGTGTGTGTAGTGGGGGTGGGAGGAGGGTGAGCATGCCACAGTGAGTGTACGGAGGTCAGAGAACAACCTGCAGAGATCAGTTCTTTCCTTCCACCATGTGAGTCCTGGGGAGAGAACTCAGGTTGGTGGTAAGGGCTTTTGCCTGCTGAGCTGTCTTCTGAGCTCTTAATTTGTATTTTTAATGGCTGATGACATTGAATCTTATGTTCATATTTTGAAAAGGTTTATTTTTATTTATGTACGAGTATTTGCCTGCATGTATGTGTGTGCACATGCATGCCCGGTGCCCAGAGGCCAGGAGATCCCCTGGGACTGGAGTTACAGACGGTTGTATTGTAAGCCTCCATGCGGGTTCATCTGCGAGAGCAGCACGTGCTCTTGATCCCCGATCTATCTCTCCAGCCTCACTATTCAGAAACATTTAATGCCAGTCTCTTAGCTGGTAAATTTGTTAAACTTGAAGTTCTAGTCATCTCTGTGCAGATGACTTTGGGTTTCCATGCACACAACCATACAATCTTTAAGTAATAACTTCTTTCTTCAGAGACGAGGTTGAACCGCTTCACACACACTAGACAACTGTTCTGCATCTGAGCTAAGCCTCTCAGCCCAAAAATGACCATTTTGTCCCTTCCTCATGCCTCTCTAGAAGCTTTTGTTAGCATATCTTAATCACACATAATTAAAAAAAATTTTTTTGTTGTTTTGCTTTTCGAGACGGAGTTTCCCTGTGTAGCTCTTGTGGTGGTATTGTGTTCCCCAAAATATTGTGCACCCTAATAAACTTATCTGGGGTCAGAGACAGAACAGCCACTAGATACAAAGGCTAGAAAATGGTAGCACTCACACCTTTAATCCTAGCATTCCAGAGGTAGAAATCCCTCTGGATCTCTGTGAGTTCAAGGCCACATTGAAAACAGCCAGGCATGGTGACACACACCTTTAATCCCAGGGAGTGATGGCAAAAACAGAAAGATATATAAGGCGTGAAGACCAGGAACAAGCAGCATTTGGCTGGTTAAGCTTTTAGGTTTTGAGCAGCACAGTTCATCTGAGAGCCATTCGGATATGAGGACACAGAGGCTTCCAGTCTGAGGAAACAAGGTCAGCTGAGAAGTTGGCCAGGTGAGGTTAGCTGTGGCTTGTTCTGTCTCTCTGACCATCCAGCATTCACCCCAATACCTGGCTCAGGTTTGTTTTATTAATAAGACTCTTTAAGATTCATGCTACAAGCTCTAGATGTCCCAGAACTCACTCTGTTCTGGGATCTGTTCTATATTCAGTAGGATATTGGAAGCATTATTTCCAAACTGCAAGTTCCAGAATTCAGAGATCCACCTGCCTCTGCCTCCTGAGTGCTAGGATTAAAAGTGTGAGCCACCATGCCTGGCTTATAAATCTCTTAAAAAATCATTATAATTTATGTGCATTGGTGTTTTGCCTTCATGTATATTTGTGTGAGGGTGTCAGATACCCTGGACTGGAGTTATAGACCGGTGTGAGCTGCCATGTGGGTGTTGGGAATTGAACCTAGGTCCTTTGGAAGAGTAGCCAGTGCTCTTAACCGTGGAGCCATCTCTCCAGTCCAATTGTACACAATTAATGACATTCCCTGTAGGGAGCTGAGGAAGCCGAGTTAATTAAGTTCTTCGTGAATGTGCACTGTTGACACAGGCATGGCCGTGTTGAGGAGTCCAAGGGCTTAGGCCCATGGACAATTGGCAAAGCCACTACACATATGGACCAGACTCAGCAGAAACGGCAAAGCTTTCCTCAGGAATGATTGTGGGCAATTGTCCAGTGTGTGCAAGGACTAGCTGTGGGAGCCCGTTCTCGGGTTCCTCGTGGCTTTACCCAGTAGGTCCGCATAGAGGATGATTAGACCACGGGCCTGAGTACAGGTGTCTGAGATGGTCTGCACTTGGCTGTGCTGGGGGAGGAGGTCTTTTGCTCCACCCCTTGGCGTCTCTATAAAAACCCTGGGGCAGAGACAGTCGGGGCCCGTTGGAATAGGTTCCAGGCCCTCTCGAGGCTATCCTTTATTTTCTATCTGTTTATCTCCGTGATATTCTCCGCAATAAATCCTTCTATCTAATATTTCCTGCTGCTCGCACTCAAGAAAACTCTGGGGAACTGTGGGGGTGGTTGGGTAAACGCCCCACAACTAGCTCACCTACAAAGATCTCCTCCCAAGATGGCTACCAACACTCTTGTGCTGTACCTAGTAAGAATGCTGAGTTTGCAGTAGAGGCAGACGCCCACTGGACCCCAGCTTCCCTGTGTCTGTCTGTCCTTCTTTGCCACTCCCAGTCAGGGTTCCAGGATTCAAGCTGCATGGGTGGTAAGTTTCTATTCATGTACATAATGTGGCTGTCCTGGAATTCACTATGTAGACCTGGTGGGCCTTGAACTCAGAGATCCACCTGCCTCTGTCTTCCCAGTGCTGGAAATTGAAGGCAAGCACCACCACACCCAACTCATTCCAGCTTCTTGAGGGAGGCAGCTGAGCAGGCGGCCCTTGTGCCCATTCCTCTGCCTAAAGCAATAGCCAAAAGCTCTGCACACCCTCTCCAGCCACAGCGCCTCAATGAGGCAAGGGATCAGCAACGAACCCTTCCTACAGTACTCAAAACATGACTCAGTCTAAACGCGGATCATTTATTGAGTTCCAAAACAAGCTCAGTGGAGTGCAGTGTGCTGACTGACCTTCCACAGTCGAGTTTTACTGTGCTGTTTATATTAATTTCCGCGGAATCAAGAACTTTAGAATCAAACCACTTTAGCCTACAGAAGACTTTATAACTTGCCTTAGAGGTCTCAAAAGCCTTTTTGATGATAGAGATCAACAAAACTCCACCCCACTTTCTCGGATCATAAAAACGTGTTTTTTTAAACTGTTACTTTTTAAGTGACGTGAAACTAACGAGAACCGGCTGCTCTTGGCCTCATCCTCTCTGGAGAAGATGACTCTGTGCTTCACGACCTTCTGCCAAGCCTTGCAGAGATAGGCTCTGTAGTCTACGTCTCCATCGCCCGCGTGCTTGGAGGAGGAAGGCTCCTCTGCTGAGGCCGAGGCTTTCCGCATTAGACTCTGCGTCGTCGCGAACAGCAGCAAGCGGTACTCAGCGACCAGCCTCTCTAGGAGCTGAGAACACTTCCTCAGAGTAGATTCCTGCAGGGCCACACTCTCTCCTCCGCTGGCGCGGTCTGTCCAGTAGAAAGCCGACAGGCTGTCCACAATGAGAAGGCAGAGAGAGGGGTGGCTACAGAACAGAGCCTCCAGGGAGTGGAGCGTGAGCAGCAGCTGCATGCTGCTGCTGCAGTAGGCCAGGAAGAATCGGCCCAGGCAGAGCTTTATGGTCTCCTCGGAGCTTCGCGACAGTCTATGCTCAAGAACAGTCACCAGCCGAAGCATGTCAAAGTGGTAGTCTGTATCAATAAATAAGACCTCTATCTGCAGCCCACCCTCTGACTTTGGAAGTATACATCGGGCTGTTAGGTGATAAAGCATTTCTGTTTTTCCCGTTCCTTCTGGACCATGAAATTCAAGAATATCACCTGTGTAAAATGAAAATATGTCAGTCAAGATGCAGCAGTGCAACAGTGGGCCACAGAACAAGTCTCAGAGAGCGTTCCAAAGAGACGTACTGGAATATGAGCTAAAAATCTACATCCACTGTTAAAGAGGAGCTGCATAAGCAGAGGCAGATAAATATGGAAATTCGGACAGCATCTCTGAGAAAGGACCCAATTTTTTTTTTTCTTTTTTTTTTTTCGAGACAGGGTTTCTCTGTGTAGCTTTGCGCCTTTCCTGGAACTCACTTGGTAGCCCAGGCTGGCCTGGAACTCACAGAGATCCGCCTGGCTCTGCCTCCCGAGTGCTGGGATTAAAGGCGTGCGCCACCTCCGCCCGGCAGGACCCAATTTTTTAAAAGTTTTTTTTTTTTTTTTGGCACTGAGGATGAAATCCAGGTCCTCAGCTGTGGTATGAAACAGCTCTACCACTGGTCCACACCCTCAATCCAGCAGTGAAAGATTAATCAGCACCAAGAAAACATAAAAAGAGCGAGAGGGTTGAAGCGGTGCAGGGAAGCTCCTAGAGACTGGCCTGTACGACTCAGGGTCACTGCAACCTCACCCTTGTTAGTGGGTGAACCTGAGTTCGGGTCCCAGAGCCCACATAACGCTGATGCAGTAGCACTCCTGTGGCAAAATTCGGGTGGAGACAGAAGCCCCAGAAGCTTACAGTCCACAGGCCTGCTGTACAGAGTGCTGAGGAGATCCTGCCTCACGGTAGACAGTGAAGGGCACAGGTGACCACACAAAAGCACAAGGCAGAAGCCTTCCAACCATCGATGGACATTTGTCTGCTTCCACCTCATGGCTGTTTCAAGAAGCGGCGCCAGAGTTCCACTAACTTGTGTGGAAACTCTATACTGTTCTTGGTAACAACTGTACCATTTTCCTGTCTTAGCCGAGGTACATGGAAGTTCTGGTTTCCTCACAGCCTTGCCAACACTTAGTTTTTTGCTTTTGTTTTAAATAATGTCATCCTAATGAGTATGAGATATAAAGGACATTTTATAATGATGAATGGGTCAGTCAGCAGTAAGACATCACAATAATAAACTTTTGTATGCATAATACTCAAAGTCCTAAACACAAGGCGGCAGACAGATGGAACTGAAGGGAGAGACAGATAACAGCCAGAGATGTCAGCAGCTAACTCTAGAAAATGGGACAACAGAACAGCCGCAAACAAGTGCAGCAAGGAAGCCGAAGTTAGCACTAGAGCCGGCTAGAACCAAGAGTCATCTAGAGAGCGCCTGGCCCAGGCACAGGAGACTACACAGTCTACAGTGCACATGGAGCAGCAGTCTCTAGATTAATAAGCCACTGGTCAGCACAAGTCTCAGTACATTTAAAGGGCCTAGAATCAAAGAAGCATGCATTTCCAACCAGGAAAGAATGAAAACAAACCAATGACAAACTAGAGATCATTTTGTTTATTTTTTGAGACAGGATCTTGTTACACACAACACGCTGGCCTCAAACTTTGAACTTCCTGCTTCAGTCTCCTGAATGCTGGGACCACCAGAATGTACCAGTAGGACTGGCTGTACGTCTTCCAGACCTTAGAATAGGGACTAAGGGTCTTGTACATGACACTGAAATATGAGCAACAGAAGAGACAAAACCTCACCAAAGTTAGCAATCCCGTGCTCTGAAGGAATCAACACAGTCTAGACGAGAGGGCGGGCAGGCACACTGCAGCTCACCTACTGGATAAGCATCTCTTATCTAAAGTATGTAAAGGCCACTATAATGCAATAATAAGGGGGAACTTGGTTTTAAAATTAGCAAACATCAGATCCTGCTATTTGTCATATGAAACAACTACTTTCCACTTAGTTTGGAGGCAGAGCTCATCTGCAACTGCCATGATTACAATGTATAGGTATTTGCAGTCCTGCTCTTTAGCAGTAATATCAGAAGCATGGTTTAATCTAAGGCATGGGATTCTAGAATATTTGGTGGACTACTGAGAAACAAATTTGCTCAGATAAGAACAAAATATTAAGGAGATTTACTTAACTGTCATTCTTAACACAAATGCTGACATGTAAAGCTTTGACAGCTGGAGCTATGGCAGCCATCTGCGACCGTACTGGAAAGTTATGCAAACCAGAGGAGCAGACCATTGTCTTCTGTCTCATCTCTCTGGATCTTTCTTGTCTTCCTTTATATTTGTGCTTTTTCCTTGTTACATGGTAAAAGCTTTTAACTCATTGACATTAAATAATACTTTTCACACACAAAAAAAAAGTTAGCAAACATCTGACATTTCTCCTAAAAGGACGGGCAAACTGGGAGTGAGCTCAGGTAGAGACAAGCGCCACCGTCAGCCACAGGAAAGGGTAAAGCAGAAGCACCACAGGGTGTCACTCTAAACTGTAGCCACAAAGACATACTGACAGCCCTAGGATGCGGGGTATTTGGAACAGACACTTCACTGATGGTCACAGGTAAAACATGAAGCTACTTTAGAAATCACTTTGGCTGTTTCTCCAAAGATGAAGCAACAGAGAGTTGCCTTATAACATAACAATCTCCCTCCTATGTGTTACCCAAAGGAACCCAAAGCCTATCTATCCACAGAAAAACCTGTACATGAGATCATGGCAGCACTGTTCGTAGCTTCCAAAATTCAGAAGCAATTCAAATGGCTACCAAGTGATAGTGCACTGACATAGTGAGTCTATTTATTCAGCACTAGAGAATTGGCTACTGGACTGGAGTGATGGCTCAGTGGTTAAGAGTACTTGCTGCTCTTGCAAAGGATCTGGCTTGCGTTCCCAGCACCCACACACCATGGCTCACAGCCATCTGTCACTCCAGTTCTAGGGGATCCCATGCCCTCTTCTGACTTTGGCAGGCACCAGGCACCCATGTGGTACACAGACATACACATTGACAAAACAATCATATGCATAAAATAAATAACTCTAAAAGAGGGATGGGGTGTGCTACTGATACATGCCACAAAGACAGATGTGCAGGTCTACCTTAATTACACAAGACCTCCAGAAAGGGCGAATCCACAGAGAAAGCTGGCTGTGGTTACCCAGGGCTGACTACTAGTACAGATGGGTTTCTTTCTGGGGTGACAGTTGCACGACTGTGTTGCTGTGCTAAAGACAACTCAATTACACACCCAAATCCTATGTATTACACTGAAACTAAGCTCAAGCACTCAACCTTCCCTGAAAGCTTTCCTAGTACCAAACAAGCTAGCAACTATTTTTCCTGCTGGAGAAACAGTAACAGAACAGCTGGGAACCTTAAGACCTCCTTGCAGCTCTGCAAACTTCTAAAGAGAAAGAATGAAAACTAGGCCAAGCAGAATTCCCATGAATGCTGTGTGTTGGGAAGGAGACCACAGTATGTGCTGAAGATGGTATCCTGACAGACAGGGGGGCCTGGAACTCCCAGTCCTGGTGTGCCTCATTTTTAGCCTACACTGCCTCCTTCTAGGTCTATGTGTGACGTGAATATGCAGGTATACATGTGAACATGTGTGGAAACTGGTCTCACAGAACTTCCTCTCATAGGCTTTTCCACTAAGGGCTGTGTTTTATTTACCATGCACGGGTGAATCTTCATCAGCAAACAGGTTGGGTTCTAGTTCTTTCAAGGAGCTTCTGCCTTCAAGTCGGGCAAGGAGCTTACAAAAGAAAAAGAGGAAAACTCATTACTTAAAAGGATACAACATCCTAGAAGTGCATATTTATGAAAATTTCAAAAATCTTTAAGACCATAATTTGAAGATTTAGAGGAAAATATTAAAAGGGAAATATAATTTAGAAGAAATATTTTGTTTAAAAGATTTTATTACTTATGTGTATGTGTGTTTACATGCCATGTGTGTACAGGTGCCCCGGGCCAGGGGAGGGTGTTGGATATCCTGGATTTGGGGTTAATGGTGGTGGTAAGCACCAATGTGGGTGCTGGAAACCTAATGGGTCCTCTGCAGGAGCAGCACACACTTTTACCTGCTGAGCCATCTCTGCAGTCCCTGTTTTTTTGTTTTAAAGGACAGGGTCTTCCTATGTAGCCTTGGCTGGCTTGGGACTTACTATATAAATTAGGCTGGCCTAGAAAGCTCACAGAGATCCACTTGCCCTCTGCTTCCCAAGTGCTGGTGTTAAAGGCACATGCCACCATGCCTATTCCTATTCATTTATTTCAAAAATATTTAATTTTTTATTTATATATCAAATCTACTGATGTAAAATAAGTCTGAACCCTCAAAAAAATGGATAGCAACTGTTGGGTATAAAGACCAAACTTCTAATGGCAAACTATTTACCGTTGGTGTATTTTACAATAACATTTTTTATACTTACACCAATTATACAGTGGTCTGATTTAATTTGTCTCTTTTATCTAGATGGGAGGGGCCAAAGGGGAAAGGCAGAGGAAAGCTTCCTAAGGAGCTCTAGGCTCAGCTGCATTTAAAAGTGGGTAGAAGCCAAGTGCATGGGCCACAGGCAGGTACACCAGGCATGGGAGAGGGTACGGCTGAAATGCATGAAGAGTAGGGTGTGCAGGCAAAGGAAAAGCTGATTTGAACTGCAAGAGCTTGTTGCGTGAAACAGGTAGGCTCCTGACTGGGTAGAACCACTAAGGGCAAACACCTCTGAGCGTGTCTAGGAGGGTGTTCCAGAGAGGTTTAACGGAAAAGGAAGGAACCTCCGTGAATGTGGGAGGTGCCATCACAGGGGCTAGCGTACTAGACTGAATAAGAAGGAAAGTAAGCTGAGCTATAGGGTCCTAGTTTCCCTTCTGCTGCCGTGATAAAACACTCTGACAAACGTAGCTTAGAGAAGGAAAGGACTAAACTAGCTTACACTTCCAGGTCACAGTTCATTATTGAGAGAAATCAGAGCTAGAAAAGCAGAACCCATGGAGGAACACTGCTTGTTGCTCTCTGCCTCGTGTTCAGCTAGCTTTCTTAAACAGCCCACGACCAGCACCTATGGATGGTACCATCATAGTGGGCTGGGCCCTACAGGATCCATTAATAAACAAGACAGTCCTCCACAGACAGCCCATAGGTCTGATCTAGGCTTCCTCAGTTGAAGCTTTCCTCTCAGATGATTCTAGGCTGTTACACTGACAGTTAAAGCTCACAAAAGCAAACATCTTGCATATTCCTTTATTTCCTAATCAAGGATGCAGTGAGACCAATCATATGTAAAGGATGAGTTGTGACCAAACTCCTGCTGTCATGAGTTACTCACCATGATGGACTCAAAGCAAAACAAACTCTTTCTCCCTTAAGTTGCTTTTGTTGGGTATGGCGTCGCAGCAATGAGAAAAGCAACTGATACAGAAAAAGAGGAGTGCGGCCTTTGCTGTGATAAGCCTGACCACGTGGTTCTCAGGCCTTTGGAACTGGTTTGCAGGAGGAATGTGAAAGAGTTTAAAGCTATGGGCAGGTAAGCCCTAGAAAGCTGTATGCGGAGCTTAATGGTGGGAGTTTGGAGGGCCAGCATGCAGAGAGAAATATAGACAGTGAAGGCCCGGTTCCCATTGGAAATGGGCTAGAGGTCATTCAAGCTATATTCTAGCAAAGAATCTGGCTGCATTTTGAACTTGGGTGAGGCTGAATTAAAAAGTAATGAATTTATTTGTTTGGTGGCAGAAATCTCAAGACAGGACAACATTTAGGCCATGCCCTAGTTATAGGCATACAGACTGCAAAATTAGGGGCTCATGGAGTCTTATGCCATAGTTCCAGAAAGTTGATGAGACCAGCAACATGTGGCAGGTTTGAAGGTCATTATGTGAAGCTGTGATGATGAAGCTTGTTTCAATAGAGACCTCAGAAAATGCAGGACCATGAAACATCCCCTGGGAAAATCTGTAGCATGGAGAGGCTCCAGAGAAAAGCTATGTGTGCTGCAGGCCAGAATTGAAATGAAGGGACTTCCCAAGTATTTTCGAGCTGTGGGGACGTGACAGTCGGCCACAGTCGGCCCTAACCTGATGACACTATGTTTTATCTGCCCAGAAACAAACTGCTCTATTCCCGTCAATAGAGTGCTCAGACCTGAGTAATAATTTACACAGATCCCCTGTGGTGACTAAAGAAGCCTAATATGGAGCCAGGCACCCCTTAAGAGCCGTTGACCTTTAGCTCTGGAATGCCTGGGAGATCCTAGTGGCCTTCAGGTGAGATAAGAATAGGACAATGGCCTGTGAGGTATTAACAGCTGCCTTTGCTTGCTTTAAAAATTCCACCTTAACCCCACTTCCACACAGCATGCTATTTGGCTCTAAGGCTGCCCTCTGTAGTGGATATCTGTTATCTATGACCTTGAAGCACTGCCCCTAGCAATACAGCAGGTAACTGTTCTACCTAACTATGACCTTGAAGTACCTGCCCCTGGGGTGTGGCCTCGGGGCACCCTTAAGACCTGAGACAAATGTTGTTCTCTTCTTTCCCTCATGTTGGATGTTGGGACAGACTCAGGCAGAAGAAGATATAGATGCACAATCTACCTTTGATGATCATACATTATCTATATGCCATACAGCTGCCCTAAATGCTTGGTAAAAGATTCCAGAACCAGGGGAACCAACTGAGCTATATACGAAGGTCCTCCAGGGGTCAAAAGAACCGTTTACTGATATTTTTTTTTTTTTACAAAGACTGACCAAGGCTATAAGCAAGGCAATATCAGACCAAGAATTAAGACATGTATTAATTCAATATTTAGCTTTTGAAAATGCTAATATAGACTGCGAAAGGATACTTGCACCTTTAGAGATCAGATCGGCATAGAAGAATGAATCCAACACACAAACAATATTGAGTCTCTCAACTATTGTGATGAGGCTTGGATAGGAGAGGCAATTTCCAAAGGTGGAAGGAGGCATCAAAGTACCAAATGTTTTAACTGTGGTACACCAGGCCATATAAGAAGAAATTGTACACAGGGTGCTTCTAGAAGCAATGCTTCTTCTAGAAATAACCCAAACATCTTCTAGATTATGCAGAAGATGTTGCAAAGGCCAACATTGGAAAAATGGATGCAGATCAACAAGAGACATACAAGGCAACTCTTTACCATTGGGAAATGCGTTGGGGGGTCCTCTCACAGGCTCCTAAATCGAACTTCCAGTCCCTGTGGAAGAAATTCCTCCCAAGGACAATTAAATAATCCAGTGCCTATTGTAAAGAACAATACTGCACTGGATGATAGAATAGCTTTGATAGATGGATCAAAAATTCCAAAAAATACCATAAATATTCTGGCAGACTTCTATAAATGAAGAAATACCAAAGCTTAGAGTACAAATAAATAACATTATTCTAGAAGGCTATACTTGAAAATTATGACATCCAAATTGGCCTCTTCAAGAGGTAGATGTCCAATTTCTAGGAATTGGAATCCTATCTCAAGTAAAACAAAATATAAGATGGGTTGAATGCATAGGGCCAGAAGGACAGAGAGGAAGGCTGAAGCCCTATGTGGCTAATGTAGCAGTCAATCTTTGGGGCTGAGATCTGTTACAGCAATGTAATATTCAAATTAAAATTTCTCCAATCTCAGAAGCAGAACACAAACCAATTCATGTCTCTGGAAATAATACCATAAGACACTATAAAAAAAACAGCCACCAACCATTCACGCTGTACATAAACAGAGCACAACTGCCACTGAACTCTCAGAGATGCCAATGGCCCTACCTTTAAAATGGCTAACTGATAAACCTGTCTGGATTGGACAATGGCCTATGACACAAGAGAAACTACAAGCCTTAGAACAGCTGGTTCAGGAGCAGTTAAATGCTCAACATATTGAAGAATCTACCAGCCCTTGAAATTCTCCTATATTTGTTATTAAAAAGAAACCTGGTGCCGGGCGGTGGTGGCGCACGCCTTTAATCCCAGCACTCGGGAGGCAGAGCCAGGCGGATCTCTGTGAGTTCGAGGCCAGCCTGGGCTACCAAGTGAGTTCCAGGAGAGGCGCAAAGCTACACAGAGAAACCCTGTCTTGAAAAACCAAAAAAAAAAAAAAAAAAAAAAAAGAAAAAAAAGAATAAGAAACCTGGTAAATGGAGAATGCTGATAGATCTGAGAGCCATTAATAAAGTAATTCAGTCTATAGGCTCTCTACAGAATGGGATGCCCTTGCCTTCTCTGTTACCCAAAGAATGACCTACTATAGTTATTGACTTAAAAGATTGTGTTTTTTTTAAACCATACCTCTACAAGAAAAGGATAGAGAAAAATTTGCCTTCACAGTACCTACTTATAATCATTCCCAGCCAGTCAAGAGATATCAATGGAAGGTACTCCCACAGGGAATGTTAAATAACCCCACTCTGTGCCAATATTTTGTGCAAAAACCATTGGAAATCATTCGTGCACCATTTTCACAATCTATAATTTGCCATTGTATGGGTGATATCTTATCAGCTGATCCGAAGTCAGATACTTTAGAAAGCATGTTTGAAGAATAAAGAAAGTTTTGCCTCCTGGAGATTACAAATTGCTCCCAAAAAGATACAAAGAAGAGATTCTATTACTTACTTAGTATATAAGATAGATCTACAAAAAATTAGACCCCAAAAGGTCCAACTCAGGACAGCTCAACTGCAGACTCTTAATGATATTCAAAATTGCTAGGAAGCATTTCCAACTTACAGACT